GATTCTAATATTAAAACTTGGAACGGATTTCCGCTACCGGAAAGATGAAAAAACGACCAACTTCTCGTCAATGACCATATCACTCTTGCCCATGATCGACTAGAAAACAAACCAGCCCCATCCGAACACAGAACAATTGACAAACTGTCAGCTCACACCCCAAACTGTTATAAACGTGCTGTTTATAAGGTTGGAAACTGCTAAGATATCCAAGACTCGGCAGAATGCTCCCGCAGAAAAGCTAGACTATCGACTTGACGACTACAAACGCTTCTCCCCAAACTGAATAACGTGTAACTTACTGTTAAAAACAAACACAAACCCCAAAAAAAAAAAAAACCCCATACAAACGAAACACGACCACCCAACTTTATGCGAGACCTGATACAAATGCAGCCGACTCAAGTACTCGATCTTCGCATTCGTTATCACATCATTGAAGTAGCTCCCGCAATAGCACAAAAAGCTCCAACCTCAACAACTACACATCACACATCATGTACAAAAAACAACAGACCAGCACACACCAACCTGTTGTGTCTCGTGTAGCGCAATCACACTGTGTCTGTGATACACCTCCAAATCAAAACTGTTTGAATCCTGTATTCTTCGTGTGAATGCTCGTGTGTCTCCAAAGCAAGCACTATGCTCCATGAACACATGACACACACACACAGACACACACACTGACACACACACACAGTCACATACACACAGTGACACACACACAGTGACACACACACACACACACACACACACACACACACACACACACACACACACACACACACACACACAGCTGTAGTTGCAGTGTACCACCTCTGGTGACCTCCTCGTGTGCTGTGACGTGTGTTGTCTGAACTGTCCTGATGTGTAGAACAGCTCAGACTGCCACCATAGGTGTCTGTCTGTGTGTGTGTGATCGTGAGCCATACACCCCCCCCAATCTAATGTGTCGTGATGTCTCAGCACTTCAACACGTTCCACACTATGGCATGATAAACATCAAAAACACCAACCCCCAACACCCAAAAAAACCTGTGTGTGTCAGAGTCATCGTGCTGTATGAGATGTGACTGCTGTCCTATTACCGCGATCTGTCGTCGTTGCAATTCAGTGCCGTGTACTAGTCGAGTGCGTAGTTGTGTAGTTGCGCCTCAACTGATACATTGTGAGTGCTCCGAAGCCGGCCCACCCTAGTGTGTAGCTCATAGTACGGTCCTCGTGACCCACCCCAATGCAATCAACAATATGCGCATGAATCTAGTGTCCTGATGTCGTAGAGTGTAGCTCCGTGTATACAGAAGTGTTGAGATCGCCTGTGTGTACTGTGACTGAGATAAGATAGCATACAGTAGAAGAACTGAGACCAACAAAAACCCCCTAACAACACTGTTGTCTTGACAAACCAACCCAACAACCCATGTCAGTCTATCTCGAATCGTAGTGCTGTCTGATCTAGTGATCGAGAACAAAACACCAGCCCCCAACCCCAACTGTAATCTACACATAAAGTTATCTGATCTGAATGTGTGCTGAATCGAATGTGATGATAGTCTGATGTTAGATGTGGCCCAACCAAACAACATCCAACATAACATCCATATAGTCAGCTCGCTTTCTTGTGTGTGTACCTCCCACACGAATACCTAGAACAAACAAACCTCAACAACCAATGCCTGCTGTACTAGTGTGTGTTGCTCAAAGTTGTCTTGTTGTAGCGTATCTGATAGGTGCAGAATTGTAGCTAGTGATAGATGCCTTGATGATAGAGTACTGTGTGTAGATTGTGTAAAACGAAAACAGAAGCCAAAACAAAAACTCCGCCCACCCCAACTCCGCACATGACACAACCAAAACCAAGAAAACCCCCACCTGAATAAGAAATGGCACTGTGTGTCCTTTGTGAGTGATCCTGATGTGTCTTTGTGTGTCCTCGCTCCGCCTGTAGTCCACTCGGTGTACATACGAGTTGATCTCTAAACAAATTGTCTACACACAAGATGATATCCTGTGATGTTCTGAGCAAAAACAAACCACCTGGTGTGTGTTGTTCACATAAGTACTCCATAATATCGCGTGCACCATGTGATCCTGTGTGTATATATAAGTGTGCCAATCTGTGCTGTGTGTGTGTCTACAACACGATGCCATCTGTTTTTTGTATAGATGAAATGCTCTGTTGATGTTTAAGTAATGCGCGATGTGTGTGTGATGTAGTGTCTGTTGTGTAGATTTCCGTGAACCACCATACAATGAACCTCATATCAATGTTACATGAATGTGTCGAACTGTAGTCTTGTGTGTGTGAATAGATCCTGTGTGTCATTCGAGTCTGTGTGTCTGCTGAATTCGCTCCTCTGAGATGATGTCTTGTGAAAAAACCGAACCTCACACACAACAAGCAACAAAGACCACCAACCAAAATGTGTGTAGAGATCAGTTGAAGCCTCGCACAAATCGTCTGTCCTGGCCACCGATGATAGTCCGTTACGAAAGCCTGTGCTCAAAAAACCCTCAATACTTAGTCTCTAGGACAAACCTGAATTCGCTGTCAAAATAGCAAAGAAAATCCTAAAACTAAACTCGCAATGTGTAGCTGTAAAAAACACACCACAACCACATACGACATTGTGGAGTGAAGATGTGTGCTGACATAAAACAACATTAATTAAAAACCCCAAATAAACCCCAGTCACTCACCACTCACACACAACCCCGATGCAAACCAATTCCTACACCTCCAACAGCTAAGTGTACTACAAATAGCTGTCGAGTCAGTGTAGATGTGTTGTGTGTGCTACTAGTCCGCATCTAGTTGTCACTCAAGTGTCTGTGTGTAGATATGTCGTGAAACAATAAAACAGCTATGTCGATGTCCATAGTGTGAGCAATCGCTCATCATGGTGTGTGTCTCAGTACCCTCTGAGTGTATAGCTCACTGTGTAGTGATGTCGAGATCAGCACTGTGTCCTGTGCTTGTCCTTTGTGCTGCGTCTCGTGCATAGTGTCGCTGTGACAAACGCCCCAAAACCAAAAAAAATGTGATACCTGTCGTGCTACATAGTGTGGTCATGCTGTGTCTGTGAAGATGTAAGAGTGTCAAGTGTGCCTCGATGTGGGTGACTCATGTCCGAGAGTGCATCCTGTAGTAGATTCCTGTAAGTTGATTCTGTAGAGTATGTAGAATCTCACACCCACTCTGTGATGTCGATGTGCACTTGTGTCGATATATAGCTGCAAAACAAAAACAAACAACACCACATAATCTACACCTCCACTGCTACAAACCCACAGAAAACCAACACTAAACAGCAAACTAATCGTTTGCTGATGCAAAAAGCATCAAAAGACACAAGACATCCACTTCACTGATGAGCCTGATGCTCCTGTGAAACTTGCTCGAGCTTGTCCATCACACTACGCATGCTCATAAGCTGTGACACCACACACACCCAAACACACCATGTGTGTGTGTTTGAAAACCAATAAAAATCTGTCTTATAGTGTGCTGTCTGTAGTAGATGAGACTACCCACCACACTCCGACTCTTTGTGCATCCTACACAATCCCCCAAAAAGGACCCCCTACCATAAGCACCAATAGTGATGAACGACTCACGATCGCCTCCTCGTGTGTGTCTGTCGTGTACTTAGATGATGTCTAGAGTGCTGTGTGGGCTCAATCACAAGAAACAGATACTGTTGTGCATAACCAAACACATGTGTGATCTGCTCCGTAACGATGTGATAGTAGACATCTAAGTGCTGTACTGATGAGTGCTAGTGAGTACTACCCAGTGTCCGCTCGCTGTGTGTATGAGTGTCGGTGAGATAGACTGCTCACCTTGTGGTCAAGATAGATGTTCGTGACTGCGAATACAGATGCTCTACAATCTCTCACAAGTGTCTATTATAGCTGTCACGTTCCGTGCAAAACAACCCACAACAATCCCCAATCACCTCTTCGCATAGCCTGAATGTGTGTGCCTCGGTGTGCGATCGCGTGTACAGCTGTGTGTGTAGTGCCTGCATCGCAATAGAGTCTGTACGTGCTGGTCGTTGTAGTGTGTGTGATGTGTTACTCTTATCCACCAGTAATCTGTGTGTCCTGTTCTGTGTTGAGTGCCTGTTCTGTGTGCCACTGCCAAAATAAGAACTCTCGGCCCTCTCGCAAATCACCAGTGTCTGTGTGTCTGTGTGTGTGTGTGTGTGTGTTGCTCTTCATCACCACCTTTCTCTTTACATTGGAGCTTTGTCGTCTCGATCACAGCTTATCATTGTGTACCTGCAGTCGTTCTTGTGCGCTCACCTGAAGCATGTAAACCTGTGGCAGCAGTCGCAGGATGAGAAGCGCGTCGCTGCTCAGTCGGCGTTAAAGCAGCAGGTTTTCTGTATGCTGCGTGTGCTGCCCATGACCTTTGACCCTGGTCTTGCTGATCTGAGGGGGGTGAATCCAGATGTTTCTGCGTGTTTGTGTCCTCAGCTGGAGAGACAGCAGGAGCAGGAAGACCTGAGAGCCCCCGAGTTCGTCAAAGTCAAGGAGAACCTGAGGAGGACGTCTGTTCAGGGCAAAGAGGAGAGACGTCTGTCAGCGATGCGCTCGCGGCATCATCCACACCACCACCATCAGCCGTGCTCTCAGAGCCTCACATAGTCAAACTTGAGCACAAACACAAACATGCAGAAATGTTTCTGATAGAAACACAGAGCTGATGAAGGCTCTATTTCCACTTTGGAGATGATAATTAAAACTTCCAGCTGTCAAACTAAAGTCTTGTTTATTTTTAAAGTTTTTTCTAGAGATGACGTCACAGCTTAATGATAATTTTAGTGAAAAGCATTACAAGTGTGAATGACGTCAGTCTGAGCTTGTTTCTCCATTTGTGGAGTAAAAGATTCCAAAAGCTGGGAGCTGACTTTCTTCAGCATGAATCTGATCTGAGAGCAGCTGACAGCCTCACAGCTCGATCCTCAGCTCTGTCCGCGGCCGGGTCTTACCGGACTTCACCACCCTCCCCTGGGCGGTGCTGGGCTCCATGCTACCGGAGCTCCTCTGCTCCTCTGCTCCTGCTCTCCTGCACAGCTCAAAGCCAGGCAGCGGTCACGTGGCACGTGGACTGCCCCTCCTCCTCGGGACCACTTCCCACGCTGCTCCTATTCATCAGCCAGCGGCTCCACCCAGCCTGAAATCCAGCTGCCACCTGATGGGGGCGCTGACTCTCACTGCAGCCTGGAGCAGACTCTCAGTGTGGGTTGCATGCGAACCATGAAGATAAATAATGATGATCTCACAACATTTAATCTGACATTTATCTTTAATATTCACACTTCCTGTCGGCGACTTTAAACACTTTTGTTCTTCTTGCCGACACTGTCACTTTATCAATGCTGGTCATCAGGCTCTTTGCTGCTAAAGTATTTATTTATACCTACACTCTATGCCCATACTCTATACTGCACTCTACATATCGTATTATTTATGTATTGTTTTATTACTTGTTATTCTGTTTGTTAAAAAACAAAACAACTATTCATTTATTTTTTATTTAAAATAAAAAAACTTTCTTCATTATTTGGTTTCTTTTCGCTCCGGGACTGTGTGTACATAATTTCTTTCCACCTCATGTTAACATGTGATGCAAATGACAATAAAGCTCCTTGAATCCTGCATGGACAGATCTGTGACATCATCAAGCCTGACATCACGTTTATCTTTGATAGAAACTGTGAACAGTTGACTTTATTCTTGTTTTCAGTCACATGGTCCAACCCTGACCAATCACAGCTGTGTGAGTTACACCTGTGCGCATGTTGAATTCATTTATATTTCTAACTATGGTGTACGGTGGCCCCAAAGGTTCAAACACAGCAAAAAGAAAACATGTCAGGAAGAAGTTTGATCATCAGCTTCATGTTCCTCTGGGCCATCACACACACACACAATCACACACACACACACACACACACACACACACACACACACAACAAAGACTCTGGTAAGGGCGGGGTGGTGGGCTGTGTGCCTCGGGACTGGTGCCATAACAGCAGAGTTGTAAACAGTCACTGCCCACCAGACTTGGAGGCCTTTTTATCTACCATTGTTTACATCCCCCCCCCAAATGCTAATTTTAGCTCAGCACTCAATCACTTCCAACTTATCATCAGTAAACAGCAGAGAGAGCACCCAACCCCCGAAAGCATCCTCAATGAATGGAGAACCGGAAGAGCTGCATGAGGATGCTCTTCATGGACTGCAGCTCAGCATTCAACAACATGATCCCAAACATCGATCCCAGATCCGTCCTGTCACCTGCTAGTGGATCAAAGACTTTCTCACCAACCGGCCTCAATCAGGTCAACTTAATCCAATTTTCAGTTGCATCAAGGAGCTTTTTATTCTAAGGTAGACCCTACAATAATACATACAGAGAAAAACCCAACAATCATATGACCCCCTATGAGCAAGCACTTTGGTGACAGTGAGACCTAACCCTAACACCCAGTGCATCATCCAGCAGCCTATTGCAGCATAACTAAGGGAGGATTCAGGGTCACCTGGTCCAACCCTAACTATATGCTTTAGCAAAAAGGAAAGTTTGAAGCCTAATCTTGAAAGTAGAGATAGTGTCTGTCTCCTGAATCCAAACTGGAAGCTGGTTCCACA